AATATATTTTTATAAATATTTTCTAGTTTTAAATCTCTTAAACTAATTCGGATATTTACTAGAGTCTTTTTTAGTTATATTATTAGTATTTATTAGTTAAATCTTTTTATCTTTTATTTTATATACTTTTATAACTAGAAATAAACTATAATTATTATCTTTTTCTTTAAAAACTATAGTTATTTCTTCTAATACTATTTTTATTTAATTTCCGGAATTTATAACTTTTTTATTTAGCTTCTTTCTATTTAAATATAAAGAATACTTTTTTATTTAGTATTCTAAAGTATTTTTTTAAACTTTTATATATTTCAGAATTTTCTCTAATTTTAAATTCCAGATTTTATAGCTTTAGAAATTTTTTTTATTATTATTAGAAAATTTTAACTTTTTTTTAGAAATATTTTTATTTAATACTTTTTTTATTTCCTTTTTTATTAAATCGGGAACTATTTTTAATAATATTTTAACTAGAGCCTTTTTTACTTTAGTTTTCCTAAAAATATTATTAATTTCCTAAATTTCTAAACCCAAAATAAAAGAATTAATAAGAAATCCCGGTATCTTTTTATTTTCTCTAATATTATTACTAGTTATAATACTAGATTTTCTTTTTCTTTTTTCTTTTTAGTTTCCTGTTCTATATTATTTAATTTCTTAATTCTAGAAGCTTAATACTTTTAAACTATTACTTTTTTTTACTTTCTAGTATTTTTTAAAAATAAAATAATTATAATAATATAAATATTCTAGTTATTTTTAGGATTAGTAAATCTTCTATTCTATAAACTATTATTTCTATATATAATTTTTATTTTTATTTTTATTAAGAATAATTAATTAAATAAGATTTTTAAAACTTTTTTAATTAGAAAAAATATATTTTTATATTCTATTTCTTTTATAATTTTAGTTCTAAGCTTTATTATTCTTATAAATCCAAATTTAGCTCTAGTAATAATAAATATTTAATAATCTATAATATTATATATTACTTTACTAATATTTCTAAAGATCTTTTTAAAAAAAATATTAATTTTGGTTCTAATATTAATTATTTCTTTATATTTAATATTTCCTTAAAGTTCTCGAAATACAAATTAGAGATATAAAGATTATATAATATATTTATAAGCTAGTAAAATTCGAATATTAATATTATTATTTTTAAATTAAATAATTCTATTAATATTAGATATCTGAGCTAGTATTTCTAATTCTTTAAATATTTTATTTATTATATAAGCTATAGCTACTGGCTTTATAAATCTTCTAGTATATCTAATTATATTTAATATAATAATATTTCCTATTTATAAGATAATAAAATAGGGAATATTATTTTTAATTTATTAGTTCTGAAATATAATAACTAAATCTAGTATTTTTAAAGTATTAATAAATATTCTTATTTTTTTCTAAGTTTTTAAAAATAGAATAATTACTTTTTTTAATAATTTTATTAAAATATTATTAATTTTAGAAGTTCTATATTTATTATAATTAAGAATATATTAGGTTCTTAATTTATTTTATTTATTTCTGGAAGTATTAATATTTATATTCTTAACTAGGCTATTTTTTTATTTATTATTTCTTAAAATAATATTTTTCTGGCCTTTTATATAAGGTAGCTTTTCTTTTATTCTAGCTCGTTTTTAGCTATTTCTATTTCTTTTTTTTTCTTTTTAATAAAAAACCTATTATAATATTAATAAAAATGCTATTTATAGTCAAATTTTAATTCTATTTATTAATTCTAGAACCTAAAATATTAGTAATTTTAATGTAATTTCTTTTAAGGCAAAATAGCTATTTAGATTTCCTAAATATAATTTATTTGCTTTTATATATAGATTCCGGTTAGCTAGTTCTTTTATTTCTTTCTTGCCTAGTAAACTAGATATCTCTTATTATTTTTTAGATATCCTTAAATTATATTTTTAAGTTATAATTAAATTCTTTTTCTTAAACTTAGAAAATAATTTTATTAAATTACTCGTATTTACTAGTTAAAAAAAGGAAATACTTTTTTATTTAGGCTCAAATAGCCCTTTATATTATCTTTTATTAAATTAATAAATATATTTATAATTTATAAGCTCTTTTATTAATAAGTAATAAAACTAAAAAATATAAATATATTTTAAATTAATATTAATATTTTTATTTTTATTATAATACTTATAGCAAATTTGCTCTTTTAGTTCTGGATTTATATTATAGGCTATATTAATTTAAATAATATTCTCTAATTATATTTAAAACTAACTTTTTCTAGAATATAATTATTTAGAATTTTTATTTATTTTAGTTTAATTATTATAGCTATTATAGTATTTCTTATAACTTTTACTATAACTTTTTATATATTTTCCCCGAAAACCCGAATTATATTTATTAGATTATTAATACTATTATTTCTGTTATAATTAGCTAGATTATATAAATAGACTATAAATATTTTCCCGAATTATAATAGTAGCTATATTAAGCTATTTCTATTGGTTTTCTTAAATTATAATAATAATAAATAGTTTTTCTAAACTTTTTATTAGCTAGTTAATAATTTTTTTTTAAGTTTACTACTTTTAATAAACTTTATATAATTAGTTATAAGTTAGGTTCTTTTTTTATTTATATTTATAATAGCTTTAGAAAATATAATAAAAGAAACTAGTAAAAAGTAATTATTTTTTAGTTTGGGAATTATATTATAAATTATTATATCTAAATATATCTGGATTATTAGTAATATTAAAATAGTATTTGTTTTCCTTATATTAATAAAATATTATTATTTTTTATATATTTTACTATATTTATAAATAGAAATATTTATAGGCTTAAAGTTTATATTTTTAAAAATATAATTTTTTATTAGAATAAATAATTCTCTTATAAATTCTTAATATTAAATAATTTTTTTAATAACTTTTTTAATACTTTATTAAATATATTAATATAAGACTTAAAAGAGATTTCTTTATTCTAGGCTTATATAATAATCTAATTAAGAAAATTATAACTAATTTTAAATATTCTTTAGTTATATTCTCGGAATTTCTTTAATAAGGCCTTAAAAATTTAATTTTCTAGTAATTTCCCGGATTATTAATATAGTATTCTAATATAGCTTTAATTTAATTCTTATAAATAAAAGAAATATAATAAATAATTCTTTTTCTTTTAGTATTATTAAAAATATAATAGTTCTTATATATATTTATATATTATTTTAAGAATATAATTTTTTTTTAAAACTATAGTATTTTAGGAGCTTTTATAAATAGTAGATTTAAGTTTAATACTAATATATACTTATTTTTAGTTATATTAATTTTAATAATTTCTACTAATAAGATTTCTAAAAAACTAATCTTTTATTTAAATATATCTTTTAATTTAAGAACCGGGATTTAGAAGAAACTAGTTAATAATAATAAATATAATCTAGATTTGAGTTTTAGTATTAGTAATAATAAGGTAATAGCTTTTCTGGTTTTATTTTTATTACTTATATTTTTTCTTTTATTCTATTAGCTTAATATTTATAATATATTTTTTTAGTTTTATTAAATTAAATATATCTAATAATATTATTAAAAATAATAATAAAAATAATAAAAATAATAAAAATAATTTTATTAATTTCTCTAATTTTTTTAAATTTTCTTTTTTATTTCTATTTAGTATTTTTTTCTTTTTTAGAAGCTTTTCTAAATTATTTATATAATTTTTTATTTCTGATTTTTTTTGGATTTTTATTTCTAGTTTCTATTTACTATTTCATTTAAAATTGAAGGTATTTCCTTTTTTAGATATTTTTTCTAAATTTAGAAATAAGCTTTTTTACTAAAACTAATATTATTTTTATTCCGGTTTTTATTATAATTAAAAATAATATATAAATTAATAATATAATTTTATTTCTAAATACTAAAGTCTATTTCTAATTAAGGTTTAATTTATACTATTTTAGTATAATATTTCTTATTTTATTTCCTCTATTTCTTTTTTTTTATAATTAGCCTTTATTTTTACTATATATTATACTAGTAATTATATCTTATAGCTAACTTATATTCAAGTTATTAGATATATTAGAAATTAATATAAAATACTAAGATTAATATTTATATATCCTTAATATTTTGGCCTTAGGCTTAAAATATTATAATAGTTCTTTTTTTTCTAAATTTACTAAGCTAATAATTTGCCTTATAGAAATCCCTTAGAACTTTATAAAAGTATTACTTTAATTACAAAATTTCGATCTTCCCTATATTACTTATTATAAAATATATAAAAGAGAAACTATTATAAAATAAAAACCTATATAAAGTATACTAGAGTATAAAACATAATTTAATAGTAAAATAATAAGATTAAAAGCATAAATAGTAAAGTATAAATAGTATATAGTATATAAAAGCTCAATTAATTAAATATAAAGGAGGGATTATTATCTAGGACTATAGAAAAACCAGCTTTCTTATATGATTCCCGCAAGTCACGTGCAAAAGGCCGCGGCCTTTGCCATGTGACCAAAACATCAAAACTGTCAAAACAAAGCGATTTTGATAGAGTACGGCTTGCCGTACCATACTATTATAGCATAATCAGGAGCTTCAGAGCTTTCGATTTCGGCCAGACCCTTCTTCATATCGTCTTCATTAACCATTTTGTGGGTATTTAAAGAGAGGGGGTGGTTTATTAGTGAAGCGTGCATTTAAGCGGGAGCTCGAGTAAAGACCACAAAAACTATCGTCTCGGCCGCCTTACGCTTCCCCGCAATTCTAGACCAGTTCGAAATCCAAGCCCGCGTATCGCCTCCTTCCAGGGGCTTCTGCCAACCCTCTCACTCTATTACGCTGGATGGCATGGCTGGCCGAATCTTCACAAGAGATAACGAAATCACCCACTACTAAGAAGCTCTTGAAACACTGGAACGAACATCCAACGGCGCTCTACTAGACAGCCTCCAGCAAGAATGCCTTTTTAAAACACGCGTCCACGCCGAGCTTCTCCTAGTTAATTTCTTCTACTGGCGCCAATTTGACTTCGTTAGCGATGACCAGTATATTAGATACAGTAAGCTCGCGTGCTTCAATTACTTCCAGTATATACTCGCGCACCCTGGAAATTACATTCTCCCAGCTTGCCATAACAAACTATATCTAAGTTGGCGGACCCCGGATATCGTTAAAGACAGAGTGCCGGTCGAGGTTGCGAGCAGGATTAGAGAAGGTATCACGAGTACGATGAACTCAAATACTAGGGCAGAGTTAAGGAGACAGATTAATGGCCGATGTGCAAAGAGGGCCGCGCAGTATGATTCGGTCACGGGTACAAGCTCACCTATTCATGTTAATGGCATATTGCAACCTCCGGCGAGCATATCAGAGGATGGGGAAGATTCAACCTATGCCTCTGCTGAAGAATATTTACCAAGTAGAGGAGAATCACCGTCTGGGTTAATAAGTAGAGGTAACTCAGAAATAGGTAAGTTCTCCAACTCCCCATTTTATGCATATCGGATAAATGCAATGCTCACGCCTAGCCATTTACAGCTGATTCTGATGATGACTTAAGTTGGTATCAGTCCAGGGTGAAGAACATTCGGTTGCTTTGACAGCCAATCACGGTCTGATCCCCCCTGTTCGTCAATACGAGCGATTGGTCAATTGGGAGCCCTACTTACTGAGGCCCACAGCTAGCTAGCGGACAAATCCGAGAAACGGTGGTCCGACCGTACAACAATGTTATATAAACGAGTTTAGGGCAGCTTCGCTAAAATTATTAATTAGCGGCCTTATACAAGCTTCGGGGCCAATTAATAAATTTGCCCTAAACTTGTCCCGAGTGGGTTTGGAATTAAAGGAGATATATTATATACGAAAGGCTCTAGCCAAAGTTATATAACTTAATAAAGGCTTTTAGCTAAATATATAAATTAAATATAGACCCTTTATAAATAATATAAGAAGGAAAATAGCCTATAAGAAGGGAAATAGCCTATAAGTATATAAAGTTACCTGTAAATAAATTAAAAGCTAAATAAGACCTTATAATATTTCTGAATATATTATATTTCTTATATAGTTTATATTAGAGAATAAAAGAATATAAAGCTTTATTTATAAAATAATTTATAAGGCTATTATATAGAATTAGCTATAAAAAAAACTAGTAATTATAAATTTACTTCTATTACCTCAAATAACTAGCCTTATAATTTATTAATAGTTATTATAAAAAATAAAGCAAATAGAAACTACTTATAAGAAAGTATAAAAAATAATTATTAATTTATAAACTAGAACTCAATTCGTAAAATTATTTATAATTAGCTATTAAAGTTATTATCTAATAGCTATATCCGAATCGAGAACTTTCTAAAATTATATATTAATATTTATAACCTATTATAAAGCCCTTTCTATAAATAAAGATTTCGCAAAAGTATTATAAATATACTAATCTTAAATTATAGCTTAGAGAGAAATAGATCTAGTAAATAAATACTTTATAAGACCTCTAGAAATAATTCTATAATTTCAGGATTTGCCTTATTTATATTAGTCAAATCTATTATAAAATATATTTGTTTCTAATTAGAAAATATATCTAGAATTATTTAATTAAGTTTATAAAATATATTATTTAGAATTAATAGAATTATTTATTTATTAAAGGCTTAGTAATTATATAAGGCCTATAAGAATTATTTTTATAAATAAATATAATTAATTAAATCTATAACTAACTAAATATATAAAATAAAAAAAAAGAATATTATTTATTTATTTAAAAACAAGTTATATAGAAAACTATTAATTTAGTTTATAAAATTTTACTTAAATAAATTATTATAGATTTATATGTTAATTTATAAAAATAATTAATAAAGCTATAGCCAGATTTATATTTATTATAAGCAAGACTATATTATATTAGCTTATAAATTATATAGAATTACTAATAAAATTTAAATAAAGTTTTTTTTCCCGAGAATTACAAATATTTCTCTAAAAAAGAATATTATTTATTACTAATTATAAATTAATTATTAGCTAATATACTATTTTAAAGTAATACTTATATTATATAAATATCTTGTTTTAGATAATTAGATTTATAAATTATAAGAATGCCTTAAGCCGGCTTATTTTAATAATTATATTTATAAATAATTTATTAAGCTAAAATAAGATCCAAAACTAGAAATAAAATATATATTTATTTAAAAAAAGAAAAGCTATAATATTTATTAATATTATATATAAAACTACTTTATTTTAGTTATAATAATAGTAATAAAGAATATTATAAAGAAATATTTTACTAGTATTATTAGGGCTTTATAAATAAAAATAAATAGTTTATAAATTATTTATAATTATTATTATAATTATCTAAAAGCAAGAATACTAATTTATATTTAGCTAGGCTTATATTATAATTACTAGTAATATCTTATAAGTATTATTAACCTATAAATTAGCTATATAATAGCTTATAGTTTAGTTAAAGATATTTTTAGATAAAGTAATATTTATAAATATTTACTAGAAATTTATAAGGCCAAAATTAAATTAAAAAAAGGCTATAATTATAATAAAGATTAATTAAGAATAATAGAAAATTAATTAATAAGTTATAAGCTAGCTTATAGGCCAAGTTATTATAAAAATATTTCTTATACTAGTTTTAAATTACTTATATATTTATAATTAGCTACTAGTAAATACCTATAAAAAAGTATTTATAAACTATAACTAATTATTAATAAAATAGCTTTATTAAAATACTAGAACTATTTCTAATTATTTTTTATTAAGCTATAAGTAATATAGGTAATATAATATATAGAATAATAAATATCCTTAATAAAATAAAGCTTATTAAAGAATTATAAATTATATATAATTATTAATAAAAGCTATAAATAGAATTATTTATTTAAAACCGAGCTATAATAATAAATATAATTAATATTATATTTTTATTTATAGTATTTCTATATTCGAATCTTAATAACTTATATAAAGTATTATAGGAACTTATAATATAAATATTAGTAACTATTCTAATATATATTATATTATATTTAAAAAAAGCTATTAAGATTAAATAAGTATTTATAGCCTTATTTATAACTTATTCGAATAAAAGATTAGCTATAAAATAAATTATATATTATTTAGAAAAATGAATTTCGAAATATTAAACTAGAAAGAACTTCTAATATATTAAGTATTTAAATAAATACTAGAAAGCCTATATATATTATATTTAGCTGCTTTATTAGTAAATTTAGTATTATATAACTATAATAATACATATGGCTGTTCTAGTATTTAGAATACTAAGCTCTTATATTTAGAGGTTTTCTTTTTAGTTTAGAATTCTTAAATTAAAAGCTATTTTACCTTATTTTTTTAAGCCTAGAAACCCGGTTTTATAATATTATTTTAAACTTATTTTTATTTTATAAAAGAAATAAAACTATTCTTATATCTTATATATAAATATAATTTTATAATAATTTAATAATAATACTATTAATATATATAATTATAGAATTATATTATTTATTAAAGAGATTAAGGGCTTATTAGATTTTTTCTTATTTTAAGATTATAATAGAATAACTTTTATAAATCCAGATTATTAATATAATTACTAAGCTTTAAATAAAAATATAAAAACAAGCTAAGATTATTTAATAATAAGGTAATAAGCTTATTTTCTTATAAATTTACTTTTTTTATTTTTCTTTTATAAATATAAAACTGAAATTCTCTTTTCTATATCCCGAAAAATTTAATAGCCAGATTTATAAATTTAATACTTGGTTTTCTTTAATTAAAGCCAAGCTATAAATTAATAATAAAGCTATTAGTAATACTATTATTTAGTTCTATTATATTTATTTAAATCTCGAATCTTATATTTAAGCTATAGTTTTTCCTTAGTTCTCTTAAATAAAAGCTAACTAAACCTAGTTCTATATTTCGATTTTTAACTAACTTTCTTATATTTACTCGAATTCGAATAAAATATAAGAGGCAGAAAATAAGCTATATTTTTTTTAAATAAAATACTAATTTGCTTTATACTTTTATTATTAAGTTTAAATATATTCTATATAAGATATAAAAGTAAAACTAGAATAATATTAATAAAATTATAGCCTTTTACTAAGAACTTAATATTATAATTAAGAATAAGTTAGTTTAATAACTAAATCTTTTTTAAACCTATATTAAGTTTATTAAAATAATATAATAGCTAGCTAAATAATCTAATATATATAAATATTATAATTCTAGAAAAAAGCTTTATTATTTAAATAAAAATAATATTATAGATATATTAATTATTAATATTATTAAGCTTTTATAGTTCTTTTTTTTTCTTTCTATAAATAATTAAATATAATTTATATTTCTAATAAAATACTAGTTATATTAAAAGTAAAATAAATATATATATTATAGAAATAATGAATATTAAATAAAGAACTATAATATTTAGCTATATAAAAAGATATTAAAGCTAAAATTAAAAGTTATAATAAATAAGAATAATAGAAAAATTCTAATTAATATAATTAATAATTCTAATAACTATAATTCCGATTTAACTCTTTTAATTAGATTTTATAGCCCTGATTCTAATTTAGATTCTAATTTAAAAGAATTAATATATTAGATACTAGTAAAATATATAAATATGAAATATAAGAATTAGAATATACGAGATTATATAATTTATATAAGCTATAAAGGGCCTATTTTTCGATTTAATAATATTCGAAATTGTGAGGTATTTATTAGTAGGTAATAAGATAATAGAATGAATTAGTATATTATAAAACCATAGTATTAAATTCAGTACAGAACTAATCTCTATTCCTCCTATAAGGTCCAGGGAAGCCCCCTCTAAATAGGAGGCCCCGATGGCATATATATAATTAGTGATTTATAAGCCTAATATATATAATATAAATAGTAGTTAGTTGGGATATTAAAAGGCCGCCGATCTCCCTAATTAATACCCGCAATATCCGAGGTTCGTTATATGCCCTTAAGTCACGTATAACCTTATATATATTATAACTATACTCTTCTCCTAGGATCTTGTCCCCAAGATTTATTAATCCTAGTAAATATTTAATTAATTATTTATTTAATTAATATAAACTTCTAGTATCTTAGGAGGTAGTTTTGCTAATATAATCTGGATAATAGATATAAAAATTATCTAATTAGATCAGGGCTAAGTAAGTGAGAAGGAAGGGTAATTATACTCCAGGTATAGGGGCTAGCCGGTAATTGCGATT